TTCAGAGCTATATATTTACAGTACCTTCACTTGTCATGACCTACATACCTCGGCTGAATATATTTTCTACTATTTTAAACAGATTTGTTTTAAATGTTCCAAACTTGTTCACCTGAAAAGAAATCATGATGTTTAGAATTTAAATATTTTATAATTCTTAATATTCAGTATTATTTTCTTCTTTAATCTTATAGAACTTTGAGCTATGCAAAAGGTATAATACAGAAACATGGTTTAATGAATAACTGTAAAACAAACACTCCTCTGTCCTTCAGATCAAGGAGATAAGCCAATATACCGCCTTCCAAATTGACTTTCTTGCTCTCCTGGAGATGGGCACCTTCCTGAATATTGCAGTAATACTTCCCCAGGGTTCTTGTGCTTAACTCTTTCTTCCCCCCCAAGTTCAGTCTTCTCTCTTTTCCACCCTGCTCTGTACGGGGAAGCTGACCTGTGACTTCGAGAGGGTTTAGTTAGTGAAGAGATTAGGAGGAGTAGAATTGGAAGCAAGGAGGAGTATCTTCAGTATTTGGGGGGGATTAATGGCAATGTGCCTTTTACTGTAATTGGTTTTTAAAAATTTTTTAATTTCTTCTTCTGGCTCCTCCCCTGCAGAGTCTCCAAAGGTTAACTGTGTTGACTCTGCCCCCAGCTGTCTCAGTCAGAGTTCTTCAGATAGAGAGATAGAGCTAGAGCTAGCTCTATAGGTGGATGTGGGTATAAGGGATTTATTTTAAGAAAGTGGCTACTAACATGGAGTTATTAAAGTCCATGAATGAACTATTTCATTAAGAAAGCTACAGTTTGAATAGGGGTATCCTCCCCAAATTGATTTTGAAACTTACCCCAGTGTAACAACACTGTGAGTTTTGGTCTTTGGAAAGTGTAGCTCTAACCGCATGGATGAGATTAGCACTTTACAAAAGGCATCAAGGTTCAAGGACACACTCAATTGACCCTTTGTCCCTTCCCTCCAGAGGAAACAGGAGGGAGGCACTATCCCAGATACCAAATGCCAGTGTCTTGATCTTACACTTCTCAGCTTCCAGAACTGTGAAAAATAAATTTCTATCCTTTATAAATTACCTAGTCTCATGTATTTTTATAGGAGCACAAAACAGACTAAGGCAATATATATATATATGTGTGGAACATACTGGAAGGGCTGGTTTTATGCTTTATACATACTTCAATTCATTAGTTGGGTACCCATATTTTATTTAAAATGAAAATGCCATTGCTTATAGATTAATAATGTGTATAACATTCTATATATGAGTCTAAACTAAATACACTTTTAAATTAAATGAACAAAGCACTGCCCCTTATCAACTATTCCATGTTAATATGTTTGGATTCCACAAAACCATTTCCCATCTCCTAGACCAGAGCTGCTACAGTCTTGTGCCTATCATATGTCCCAAGATGGTCTGGTAAACAAATTTAGTAGGCAGAAGAGAAAATTTAGGCACAAGAACAAAAACCAAATACATCATTCAGAGAGCTACCTTCCCACTAGGAGAATTTATACATTTCATAATACATAAGTACAATATACATATAAATAAGTACACATAAAATGGGTGAAATCTGAATTAAATTGGTGGATTACACCAATGTAAAATTCCTCATTTTATTATTGTATAATTATACAATTATACAATTATTGTATAATTATACAATATGTACATTGCAATGAAGGAAGTCAGGTTAGGGGGAAATGAAACTTCTGTACTATTTTTGTAACTGACTGTGGATCTCTATTCTAAAGTGGAAAAGCAATAGAAATATGAATAGCTACCACAACTAATTCATTATGCTGATTAAATGTTTAGAAATTATGGGTGGTTAAAATTTAGCATAAAAATAATTACAACATATGGTCTTGATGCAGTTCTCAGTCTTTTGAACACTCCTTGGGGTTCCCTGCGAATATTCCCAGCAGTTTTCTCTTCTTGACATTCTCCACAGAAAACAGATTAAAATTCATGGATTCAGAGGGGCCAGTTCTATGTCAGAGGGCCTGGCTCCTACATCTCATTCAGACACCAGCTCTTTACTAGATTGCTTTCACTAGATCCCAGTATGGTGGCTGACACCAGAGGCTCTTGAGAAACAGTAGATGAATGAATGAATAAAATAATTATTTTCCAAATATTTACAAAATATTTACACTTATAAAATCCTACTGTTGCCTTAATTTAAAATATATCAAGACAAAACAAATATTTCTTTCCACGACTGTCAAGCACCCAATTTGCTCAGTGTACAATTTCTGCACTTGTACTATTCTCCCACCCAGCAAAGCCTGAAAAATCTGAGCCACCTTTAACACTTCCTTTTCCTGCATTTGCTATATATAGGCAATTACCACTTCTGTTCATTTTCCTCTCAAATATGCTTTATATTGTCCCTTCTCTTTGGTTTCTATGGCTACCACTTATGCCTCATATTACTCAATGCACTAGTTTTTCTCCCTGCTCCTAGTCTTCATTCACCTTTAATCTATCTGGCATGCTAATGCACGATAGATTTTTCTAACCTACTGTTTTTATCACTAAGATCATGATGATCATATGACTGCCACCACTTATCACGTGCATCAAGCATACCAGGCACTGTTACTATACACACTACTGTACATACAAGGTCTCATGTATACTCGTAACAATAACCCTGAATGTTAGTCATCATCGGTCATCTTTTTATAAATGACAAAACTGAGAATTCAAAGGTTAACTGCGCGTACAATTTTTTAAGTAGCAGAGATAAGATATGAATTTAGGTGAGCCCTGTTCCAATCAGTATTAAGCATCGCGTTTATTGTGGTTTAGATTTAAAGTGTTCCTCAGTAATCTCATGTGCTCAGAGATGAGGTTTTTAAAAGGTAAAATGTGGGGGCACTATGCTCAGTGGTGGATCAATCCATCAATGAGTTCAATGTGCTGTCAGTAGGTGGAGCCTCACTGGCGGAGGTGGGTCCCTGGGTGAATGACCTGGAAGGCCATATTCCTGTCCCCCAACCCCTTCCACTTTCTCTGGCTCTCGGGCTTTCTCTCTGCTTCCCAAATGCCATGGGTTTAGCAGTTCTCCTCTGCCACACCCTTCTGTCAGGCCTTTTCAGACTTGGAACCAGCCAGCCATGGACTAAAACCTCTGAAACCATGAGTCAAACTAACCTTTTTCTCCTTTAAGTTCTACCTGGAAGTTACAGTATTAGGTGAACACTAACCCAGCGTTCCCTCCTTGATGCACAGCAGTAGGCCATCAGCCTGGCAAAAATAGATGACCAGTAAATAGTAGCTACTGTAGGCACTTGATCAGAGTGGACAGAGCAGAGTACATGCTGACAGCAAGTGTCTCTCTCCTCTGTCACTGTCCTTCAGACTTGCACTGTCAATGTATTACAGCCCATAGTACTCCACTTCCATGCCCTTGAAATCTCAAGTCAATTTCATAGGTTTGTGGTTGCTCTCAGGCAGTAAAGAAATGGTCCTTTTTTTTTTAAATTAAGAGTACAGTTTGGTGTACACCAAACTCCAATCTCGTTCCCTTTAAAACTATTTCCCTTTCTCGGTTGTTTTGCTCCTGGCTTGCAAATGTTCAGTAGAGAATGGAAGGAGCTTTGCTCAGTCACATCTCCTCCTTTCAATCCTGTTCTCCCTCTTCCGGTGCTGTGTTTGGCCATTTGGGAGTTGTCAGAGGGAAGATGAAAAGGTGAGGTGGAAAGCCCTTGTTCAGCTCCGTGGCTGTGACCGGCCTTGGTGCTCTCAGGAGGGGTGAGCGGGCTGAGGGCACGCGTGACCTCACTGACCCTAGCTGAGAATGTCTCACTGTGTTTCTGGTGAGGTGATGTCCCGGCCTCCGGCTTCCGGCAGCCCCTGCTCTCACACGGCTCCTGTGGTGGGGTCTTGGTGGTAAAGATTTAAGGCTGGTTCTCTACACAGGTGTCCACATCCAGTCCACAGCCCATTCTCAAACTGATGTGCTCATTTCCCACTGCCCCACTGCTTCTGCTCCAGCCTCTCCTTCTCTCCTGCTCCAGCCAAACACTATTCTCGGTCAATCTCAATGCACACATTTTTCCATGAATCGTTTCCTGACCTACTCTTTCCCACGGTGATTTTCCTAGACTGAATTTCCAGTCAAGGCTGTATCAAAAAAGTCAGGTTTTAAAAAAGAAGCTTAAATGCATATGTTAGGGACCCTTGAGAAGACATTTTAATATTCCACACAATTATGGAATTAAATACAAACTACACACAAAGCACTTCTGCTCACTGAAATACGTGATTGGCTGAAGCAAAAGTTCTCGGATAATTGTTTAGGCTGTGAGATATGTTTTCATAGATTGTCATTTTTTCTTGAAAAAGTGACTGATATGAAAATTATGGTTTTATGGCACACAGGTTATTTGTTTTTCTTTTAAGACAAAAGATGTATGGATAATTGTTTAGGCTGTGAGATATGTTTTCATAGATTGTCATTTTTTCTTGAAAAAGTGATATGAAAATTATGGTTTTATGGCACACAGGTTATTTGTTTTTCTTTTAAGACAAAAGATGTTAAAGTATGAGTTGTTTTTTTCTAAACTAAAAATCAACGTTCAGGCTTAATTGCAGTGTTGGCACTTTGTGACAAAGAAGTGGGTTTGGGGTTGCAGTTTGGGTAATAGTCTAAAAGGTTCACTCTTACTGGTACATGGGGTGAGGTATTTGGCAATATTTTTTGAAAAACAAAAGAAGTCAGTCTGCCATGTCTAGGAAAACAAGTGACAATGCTGATTGCCAATCATAAGTGTAAGCTTTAAAGCAAATATTAGAATTTATAGAAACTTGCATCCAGTCCTACAAGCTTAACAAATTGTGGTTTTGTATACACAGTCAGCTCCCTTCAAGAGGCAGGCGTTACTTTCCCTGTACTTGATTGTGTGTGTAGAGTAAGTACAGGTTCACTGACTCCCATCCTGGAAAAAACTTTCAGAAGTCATAGGAGGCACAGGAAGTGTTTATTAGGCAGAGATTCTAGGGCATACTCAAGAGTGGAGTGCAGGCTCTTGGAGAAATGAGTCTCATTACAGTTTGCAACTGGAAATGTTTATGTGTTTTTGGTGGTGGAAATCTGTGGAATTCGATAACCTAGAGTCCTGGTCTTGCTCTGGTGGTGGGGGTGGCCCTCCCATGGTAAGGCAATCTTTACTTAGTTTGGGTGCTGGCCTAATCTATAGGTGAAAAGGTAGTCTATGGTGGAAATCTTTGGTCTTGGTTTGGTGGCTGAGAGAGGATGGCTCAACCACAGTAAGACAGCCATCCATTCATGGGGGAAATCCTAATTACAGGTGAAAAAGAACCATTTGCAAGTGAAGGAAATGACCAAAACCCTTTGCAGGTGAAAGGGAATTGCCTAGGATTATTGAGTTCTGTGAGAAGAGAAAAGCAAACAAAACAAACAAAGCAAAACTGGGCTTGTGTCCTGAAGCTGCATTTTTCATTTTTAAAATTATAATTTTTCTTGTCTCCTTTCAGCCTAGTTTTTATTGCTTCTATGCTACCTCAAGTAGAATATGGCTGAAGACAGGAGTTGCCACATTGAGATTCGATTATAAAATGACGGTGGATCTCGAGTTCCCTCCACCCTTCCCCTTTTCCTCTTTCCATTGCTTCTTTCTCCTCCCTCCTCTCCCCTTTCTCAGCACTCGCTATGGTCCGAGCTGCTAGGATGTGCGGCAGCCCTGGGAGAGGGAAGCGGGTTGAGGATACCCACATTCAAGCAGCCTCTGTGACTGAGGAAGTGCAACCATCTGAGTGAACTTAGACGCGGGTCTTCTGGAGGTTACATGAGGCACATGAGGGCCTTGGAAGTGGGTCATAGCAGTTAGACCTTCAGCTGGTCCCAGCCCACGGCTGCACCACAGCCTCTTCAGAGAGCCGGAGCAAGAATCACCAAGCCACGCTATTCTTGAATTCCTCTCCAAAGAACTGTGAAAAGACAAAAATCTGTTGTTTTAAGTTATGGAATTTGGGGTAATTTGCTATATAACAATAGAATAATACAACCACTTCCTCAAACTTAAAGGCTTTCTGAGAAGTTCAGTTATGCTACCAACAAACTTTTGTCTTGTTTTACTTTGTATGGTTTTTTTAGGGTTTTTTTATACATCGGTCAATGGAAGATCTGTATAATTTAGAGAACCAATATTATCCAAATAATCAATGCACAGTGTTACAAAATCATGTATTAGTAAAAAAGCCATTTAATATGCAAAACAGACAAGTCCATTGATAAGCCACCCAAATTGCAATTAACGTTTAAGAAATGAGCACTCATTGAATAATGATAAAGGGTAACAGAATATCCATAGCTATCTGGAAAAACTATTCAAATAGTACTTTCTTTTGCAGCTAAATATCTGTATGAGGCAGGATTTTCTTTATATCAACCCAAACTATGTGCTGCAATAGATTAAATCCAGAAACAGATACAAGAAGCCAGATGTGTTCTATGAAACCAGATATTAAAGAGATTTGCAAAACTAGATATTGAAGAGATTTGCAGAAAGATTTTCTCCCTCAGACCTAGGAACTGTTTTTATTAACCAGTTCCTGTTTTCCCTAACTCTGAGATAATAGCATACACTAAAGTACATCAATTTTTAGAGTGATGAGTCATCATGTGTGTAAATACCTGTGCAGTCACCTTCTAGGTCAAGCTATATAGAGCGTTTCCTAGCATATGTGAGGGCCTGGGTTCCATTCTGAGAAAAAAAAAAAAAAAAAAGAAGAAGAAGAAGAAAGGAAGAAAACACAGTCACGGTCCCTCAGAATCACTATGCTGACTTATATCACTATAGATAAGTTTTCCTTGCTCTTAAATTGTATAAAAATGGAATTATTCATACATCCTCTTTTTTGCACAGCATTATATCTGAGTCTCGTCCATGTTATTGTATCAGAAGTCCACTTTTTAATGGTATATAGTAGCCCATTATTTGAAACTATCATAGCTTAGCCTTTCTACTGTTGATGACTAATTGGGCTGTTTTTCTTTGGGGACTATTCCAATAAAGCTGCTGTCAAGAACTCTGGGGGAAAAAAAAGACTTGTGAAAAAAGAAAACAATGATCACTCAGCTTGCTACCTTTTTGATTTTGGAAAATACAGTTATTTTTACCAAAAACAATGTTATTATTATTTTAAATGAATTGTTACTTATATATTGCTAAGTAACAAATTATACCAAAATGTAGCAGCTAAAACAGGAAAAATCATCCAACAGCTGTTGTAGGTCAGGAATTCAGGTGCAGCTTGGTTGGGTAGTTCTAACTCAGGGTCATAAAAGCTATAATCAAAGTGTCAGAATGCTACTGGCTTTTGGGGTGCTGAAGTCTTTTCATTGAGGTGGTCTCTGGGTTCTTTCTGTCCCTAACAAAGAAGTGGTCAAGACAAGTGCAAAAAGTAGCAAGGTTTTACATTTATTAAAGGTAGGAAAAGAAACAGAATGAAAAACACATGTTGGGAAGAGTGAGTTCAGGCCAACTAAACGCAAGAAAAGTACACTCTAGAGTGTAACAGTGGAGCACTATTGAAAGGCAGCCCAGCAGCCAAGTGCTCAGTGGCAGCCATCTTTTGTATCTCCCACCCCTCAGGCTGAGGTCAGGTCCTAGGCCGTATTATCAAAAACCTGCTGGAGTTCTCTCGAGAAGAATTGCAGCTAGCACTCTCTGGTTCCAGGTACAGTGTTTTCAGAGCTGTTCTATGTATGTGTCCTGGGACGTTGTAATAGACAGGTCATGTGCACTTCCCCAGCCACTTTACCATATCCTAACCTGGTAATACCAGTATATTGATATTGTTTGATATTTTCAGATTGGCTTCAGAATATTCCTACCTCATAGAGAATTAAAAGAGATGAGTGAGGAAACCTAGCCCTTAGCACAGTTATGGGCATTTAATTGGCCTTCAATAAATGTCAGCTCCCTTCTTCCAGACGATGATTTTTTAAATTATTCTGACATTATTAGTATTTGCTATTGAATTAGGCTCTGGGTTCAACCCCCAGGAACTTGAACTCACAGGGTAGCCCAAACTAGGCTTATACTCACGGCGATCCTCCTGCCTTAGCTTCTCAAGCGCTAGGGCTATAGGTATGTGTCACCATGCCCAGCCTTTTTTTTTCTTTTGAATTTTTCCTTTATAGTTTGTCTCTTTTAAAAATTAATTTTAGTGATATACTGTTGGTATACACAATGATCACATTCATCACAGGGAATTTGTACTTGTTCGTGATCTATCTTAATTCTTTTTTCCCCCTTTCCTCTCCCTCGCCTTCAATCCTTCTTCCCCTCTCTCTTTACAAAACTTTCTATCGTTTTCCTTCCATTCTACTTTTTTACCCCTTCCTAGTCCCTCCCTTTCCTTCCCCCCGACTCTTTCCTTATTCCCCATTCCATTTCAATGTTTTCTTCCTACTTCCCAATGTCTTTCATCCTTTTTGGTCCTTATTACCTTTTGAGTTTCTCACACAAGAGAGATAATGTGATACCTGAACACTTGTGTTTGATTTATTCCACCTCGAAGTATGTTCTCCAGGCCGACAGGCGCAATCTTGAAGCCTGCTGTGAGTGAGTGGAGAAATATAGTCCTGGTACCCATAGAACTGTTCTTGTAGAGGTGACTCCCAAAGGAGATGGCTTCCAATGCAAATCTTTGGTGCAGGCCACGGATAATTCTGGAACAAGTCTTACATGTTAGATAAATTTTGAGGTTAGGCTTTGAGGCCTGGTAGATATTATTTGAAGTTATGAGCAAATCTCTGACTCAGTTTGGAGTAGATTTGGAGGAAGGACCCAGTTAGGCAGATTATCAGGGTTCCAGCCAGTTGGATACAAATCAAAATAGGCCAAAACCTATGTGAACTGGCAAAACCCAGAATGGACTTGTATTCAGATTTTGCACAACTTTTTAAAAGCAAAATGGTACTGTATATTTAATAATACATTCAATTTATTAAACTTTTCAGGTCCATTAAGTAATTGTTGTCACATTTTAAAAGGTAAAATTTAGGAATAGAAAATTTAGTAATTTGCTGAGAATTACACACCCTGGTAGGCAGTAGAGCTAGAATTCATACCCAGGCCTGACTGAACCCCAAAACTTCTTTATTTCTCTCACTATGCCAACACTGTCTTCACTTGAATTATTCATTTTCTTCAAAGCTAGTGCAAATCTATTTTTTGCATTAAACTTTCTAAATACAGATAAAACTGTATGACTGTTAAGAAAAAAATTATTTTGAGGTCTTTATAATTGTTTCCTAACTCATTTTATAAGTGTGTGGTACTTTTTCAAGAAGCACATAGCAGCCGGTCGTGGTAGCGCACGCCGGTAATCCCAGCACTCGGGAGGATCACTGAGTTCAAGACCAGCCTGGGCTACACAGTGAGCTCCAGGTCAGTCTCAATACATAAATGAGACCCTGTCTCAAATAAAAAATTATTAAGGGGGCCAGGGATTTACCTCAGTGGTGTTGCCACCTGCCTCAAAAGCCCCAGGTCCCGAGTTCCATCTCTGGTACCAAAACAACAACAAAACAATTTAATAAGCACTATAACCACTGACATTATTTATTTTGCCTAAATTTATAATCTGAAACGATGCAAGATGTATAAGGATATAGATATGAAGATACAATTCAATGCAAACCAAAATATTGTCAGATAAGATCACAAATATAAATACTTTTGGCAGGGTTGGATTTTACTTCACTTCCTGTTTCCCTTTGCCATTTCTCTTCCAGGGACAGGTAAGAAAAAAAAAAAAAGGAACTTTTCTAGCATCACAAAGTCCGTGATGCTCCAGGGGTGGTGAATATTAGCAGGAGAAATGCTTTCCTTTTACATTTGTTAAATCTAGGAGGCCAGAGAGAGAGAGAGGGAGAGAGAGCGAGAGAGCGAGCCCTGATGAATAGAGGAGGAAACCGAGGAAAACAGCAGACTCTGGCGTGTGCAGATAGACAAGAGGATTAGGGTGGGTGGGCGAGGAAAACAGGCCAGACAGAGAGCAAGGGCTGCGGTACGCTTTCCTCTCAGGCAGGCTCTGGTGCACAGCGTCGTCGGATAGGGTGATGCCAGTATTATCTCACAGATTCCTAGTCTGTGTGCTCATGATTGTCCAAGATTTTCTTTCTGTACTGAAGTGCACTTTCCAAACGTTTAAGGCCATGCTGGTCTTGGACCTCGGGGTCATGTTGGAGGGAAGAGGGTTCCACTTGGATAGGAGGTGGGTGAGGGGAGGTGGAGAGTATTTTCAGGAATATTCAGGAATGAGGACAGCGTGAAAGCCAGGGACCTGGCAGGCTTTGCACGCTAGAGGAATCCTCTGGTAAAAACTTTTTCCCCCAAACAGTTCCCATGAACAGAACTTGGCAGCCGCAGCCTGATACTCGGGTGAAGAAGACAGTAAAGCTACCATTAAATATAAAGTGTTCAAACTGAAACGGGGCTTTAGTTCTCTGACTCCTCCTAACTCGTCCACACGAACACGGAACTAGGTAACCAATCAAATCTGATACCAAGTTCTTCCCAGGTTTGGTCAGAGGGAAATAACGACAATCTGAAGCAGGAGGGTCCTAGGTGCTAAAAGATGAAGAAAAAGAAATTAGGATTATAAAGAAGACAAACCAAAGACTACATTTTGCCTAGGTTTGATCTGGTGATCCTCATTCGGCTGAAGGAAAAACAATCTGTTCAGCAGTCTCTCTGAATTAACACTTGTGTTTCTTTCCCACTCGGCATCATATGTGAACCGTTTCTTTTAAAGCCCAGGCCAGCCCTTTTCAAAAGGAGCCTTGTTCTCAGATGATCCATTAATCGAAGCATCACTGCAGAATTTGGGACAAAATTCACCTTATATTATAGAACTTCTCAGCGTGGCTCAGTTTTCAATCCCCTCACTGCTGTCCCTGTGCTCCAAACACATTCCTCCTCCTCTCAGTGGCAGAGTGATTTCAGAAGATTCTGGAACAAGCTCTCAGAGGCCCATTGTGCAATAACAAAGAATTCCAGCATGAGCTGCGGGTTCTGTCCTTGCCTGCTTTCCTGAGGAGAAGGCCACCTTTACCCCAGGCCTGCAAGCTTGCTAAACACTGGCAACCCAAGAAAGAGCTCCCGTGCCCAGCAGACATGTCGGGGGTATATGTGGGCAGGTGTTAAAGAATTTCTCTGGAAGAAGTGCAGTCTTGCTGTAGCGGGATGTGGGTGAGGGAACAACTGGAAATAAAACCCCCCAGGGTTTCTTATTTTCTCAGGCGCCTAGAAGGTGAACCCAGTTTCCCAATGAATCATTTAGGGGATATTTTATTTATTTTTCTTTTAGGGGATAGTTTTAACATTTTGTTCTTCTTAACTTCTTTTTTTCCCCTCTCTCAGTTAAGGGGATCCAGAAAGTAATTATGGACCTAATGGATGAATTTAAAGATGATTTTCCAACTGTCCTAGGATTATCACAGTCTAATCAGGTAATGTGATTCCATAACTTTAAAAAAAGAGTACAAAAATATATTGTCTTTTTAGTATATCAGATAAATTATTTAATGCTTTTATTTCTATATTGGGGATTAAAGCTTGAGGAAATATTAATTTTGCCTTTAAAAAAGTTTTCAAATCTTACTCATTGGGAGGAGTCTATGGAAAGCAAAGAAGTTGTGGCCAGGAAGTAAGATAGATTAATTAAATTGTTTTAAAAAATCACTGTATCAGTAGAGAAATCTATCCATGTTAGTAAAAACTGAGCCAATGCTTAGTGGGTGAATTTCTACCTACACTAAAAATTTTCTTCCTCATTCACTAATAATGGCTTGCAATGTCCTTAAGCACTGTTTTTAGCGAAAACAATTCTTTCTTGTTTTGGGGATCGGCATAGAGCATGTGGGCTGTATATGTAAATGGCTCAAATTACTAACCCCGTTTATTTCAGAAGGTAGATGAAGTGCTGGGCATTTTTGTTTAACCATCGAATTCATGGTGAGAGTTACCAGACCTGGTGGACTTCCTTAGCTGTGGCAGAGTTCCCAGACTTGTATAGGATTGAGTCCAAGGTGCCACAGACGCTGGAGGTCTCTCTACTGCTAGCGCCAGTGACTGCTGCATGACCGCTGTACTAGTCAGTGTCTTGTAAGGGATATGAGAAGAAGACTTTACCGGCAGAGACAGCCCCTCTCCCTGAGACCCTCTCCCGGGGTAGGCGTTGAGGAAGGCGATCCTGAAGAGCATCAGCCGTCCCTCACATGGTGATCAGCTGAGCTGGACAGGACAAGGCGTGTTCCTTACCCTTGGAGCTAGGCCTTGGGAGTCCTGGGGTCTTTTCTTGGCAGTGCTCTGCAGTCGGGAGGAAAGGTGTGGCCAGGTGTCCCTGCTGGTCCAGGACTCCAGGCAACTGGGGTGGCACAGTAGTGACAGCAAACACTCAGAAAGCCCCAGGGTGAATCCTAGTCCACCCAACAGCATGAAAGAACTTAGTAGCCATTGCTTAAGGTTTGGAATAAAAATTTCCTCTGGGGCTGGAGAAGTTAGGGTAGAATTTTGGCTTGAGGTGGTGGCTTTGAGGTCCGGCAGGCTCCATATCGCGTGTCCCACCTTCCCAAACTTCCAGACCCTTCCCCTTTGCAGCTTTCATAGCTATTTTTAAAGGCTTCCACTGGCAAATTGCAAATGAAATGATTCCCATTTGAGGGTTGTAGCAGAGTTAAACATTACATTTGAGCAAAGAAATGTTTACTACATCAGAGAACTGAAAGAATGAAGGCAGGTGATCCTTACTGGAATAAGAGAAAACTTTCACAGTAAATAGGACCAATTTTATGGTGGACTTTTAGTTATAAATGATGACTATTGCTTTTGCTGTTGTCATTTTGCACCTAATCATATTTTATAAGACTGGGAGACATAGACAAGACATATGTAATAAGGTCATAACATATGCCAATTTAAAAAAATGTTTATATCTATAAATGTATTTTTCTAAGTTCTGTAAATTAAAAAAAAATATAGGCCGAAAACTTCTGAGAATCCACCAGCAATGTCTGGAAATCACTTGTAACGGGAGTGGGATTCTGAAATACAATGAGAACAAGACTGTAGCTAGAATGTTCTAGAGTTCAGTTATATTTCTGTCTTTGGTAAGCAGTTCACTGTGAGGCAAACGATCACCATTGTGAAAGTTACAGAGCATACTGTGCCCTGCAAATCTTCTGGATGGTTTCTAGTATAATATTGGTACACTTCTTTGTTATTTCTCAATATTAATTCATTATATTTTCTGATACTCTCCACTCATTCTGAGAAATATTTACTGAGTACCTACCATGTGCCAGGTGCTGATCTAAGCTGTAGGGGGAAAAATCAGTAAGCCAGATGGATAGAAAACATTTCTGTCATACAACTTACATCCTTGTCAAATAGAAGGTCAATAAACAAGGCAGAGAAACTATGTAGCAATAAGTTTTAGAAGAAGAAAAATATAGCAGAGTAGGGATATGGAGTAGAGGTATAGGTCGTGGAAAAACAGTTGATTTTTAAGATAGGGTATCCCAGAAGTCCAAAATGATTCTTCCATTAAGATTTGAAGAAACCGAGGGAATGAAACTTGGAACCCTTGAGGATTCAGATGGCAGAACCACTACAGAGTCCTGGAGGTGGCAGTTGTCAAGCAGAGATTCTTCCAGTAATGTTCATCCACAAAAAGCAGAGCTTTTTGATGGGAACCTGTGGGCCATAGGAAACCAGAGATACATTCGAGGAGGTCCGGCTGAGAGGCAGACTGCTAAAGCAAGAAGGGAGGCATTTATGTGAGCTGCTGGGACACAGGGTTCACTGGCCTCGGAGACCTGAGGTGGGAGCTGGCTTTGGGGCATTGGCAGAAGTGACACTCTTGGGCGAGTGACCGTCGGTAACATCTTATCCCAGTACTGCTGCCTTAATCTGGAAGAAAACCAGCGTTGCACAAACCTCTTCCTACCTGCAAGGCGTATAAAGCATGGAAATGTGTAGAATGGGAAGAAATCTCTTTGAGCCTTTAGAAAATCCTTGAGAGGGCTCTTATCTCAGACAGGCAGCCATGAGCTGAGATCCAGCTTTAATCCTGTTTGGGTCTGATGAGAAACATTTCACCTTGCTATCATCATCTTTCAAAAAGTGTACTTGACAAGTTCAACAAATAGAAGGAAAGCTGGGCATAAGGGAACTTCTGTCATCCCAGCTCTGAGTTCAAGGCCAGCATGGAACACATGAGTGAGACCCGTCTCAAAAACCCCAAAACAAAACCAAAAAGCAAACAAACAAAGCCAATGGGAGGAAAAAGGGGGAAAAAAGATGATGAAGTCAGAAAAGAAAAGAAGTAACAATCTTTATATGGCCTTATATTTATTTTGGCTTTTGCCTTAGGTTCAGCAAGATAACAACAAAGCAACTGAACAAATGCAAGATATAATTTGACATGAGGCTTCTTCTGGTCTGTTTTTTGGGAGAGGGTCTCACTGTGTAGTTCAGGCTGGTCTCAAACCCACTGTGTAGCTTAGGCTGGCCTCAAACAAAGCAATCCTCTGGCCTTGGCCTCCGAAGTGCCGGGATAATAGCTCTGCACCACCATGCCCAGCACTGGCATGAGTTTAAGTGGATATTTCTGGCTGATCCATTGTTGAAAGAATAAAATAAGCAAGGCTGAAGCTGGGAAGCCACTTGGGCTAATTAGCTAGTTTTGGAGAAGAGAGGACAATAGATTGTGTGTAGTGCTGGGGTAGGGAGAGGGGCCAGGCCCTGAGGTTGTTCAGAGAAAGAATTGAATAAGATGTGCTGACAGGCAGGTTTCATAGAAGGAGGACAGTGAAATCCTGAGATAATGGAAACTGGCATTCAGCATTAAAACTGCCGATGACAAAGAAGTGGGCGTGGCTCTAAAAAAAACAAAAAACAAGATAAAGGAAAGAAAGAAAGAAGGAAAGGATAGGAAAGGAAAAGGAAAAGGAAAGCCATATTTCCTTTCAAGTAGTGAAGGTCAGCTGGAGAAACTGGAAGCAGGCCTCTAGAACCAGTCTTCTTAACGCCTAAGGCTCCTGTGAGTGACCTTGAAGGAAAGGTCATGCGGATGGGGAAGTGTGTGTCTGGGGGCAGTGGCAGGGGCGGGGGTGGCCTTTGGAGATGTGCTCAGATGATGAGGGCTAGAAGGAATTATCTAAGGACAGAGAGGAAGCGGGGATCTCTTAATCAGGGGTCAGCATTTAAAGTTACACAGACGGTTTGGTAAAAAAAATGTAGCACATACAGTAGACAAAAGGGAAAAACGATAGCTCAAAAAAGTATGTTTATTTAGAAAGTTTTCCTACTATTAGAACTAGGAAAATAAGTAATTCACTGAAAGCAAGAGTGGATGGAAATTATTGTCAATCGGTTTTATAAAAAGGAATTTCATCCTGTGCCAGACGGAATGTGAGTAGTTTTTCCTCCACTGTCACCTTCCCGTCCCCAGAGCCTGGAAGAACCACCCTGGGTTTCTTTCTTAGATGGCTCTTCTGGAAAGCAACAAGGAGGTCTTCTCTGGGAAGAGCTGATTCTGTTTGTGCTACTTTGAATGAAGATGATCAGGAATACTTTTGTTTCAGAGTAACAATTCTTTCAAAGGCATGGAAGGAAGTATCAACAAAGGAAAACAGCTGGGCATGGTGGCACATGAGTATAAACCCAGCACTCATGAGGCCGAAGCAGGAAGATTGCTGTGAGTGCAAGGCCAGCCCAGGTACGTGGTGAATCCAAGGCCAGACTGGGCTACACCGTGAGACCCTCTCTGAAAAAAGAACAAGAAAGGAAGAGGAAGAGGAAAAAGGAAAAGCACATAGAGGGATGGAGCGCTTGCTTGCTTGCTTAAGTAGGAGGGAGGTCTGAGATTCATTATGCAATACCAGAAAAGAAAGAAAAAGGAACGAAAGAGAAAGAGAAAAAATAAGAAAGAGAATGAAAAAGAAAGAAGAGAGAGAGAGAAAGAAAAGCATTTTAAAAAATCATGAAGGGTGGGGGGTGCAGCTCAGCAGCGCAGTGCCTGCCTGGCAAGGGCAAGGTCCCGAGTCTGATGAGAAAAAAATTATGAAGGTAAGTGGTCAAATAACAACTGAGCACTAAAGGGAAACAAAAACGACAGTCATTAAGAGCAGGTTCAGACCATCAGAAACAGCCATGAGCTTATTATGCCACTATTGCAATCAACACTTGCATTACAAGACTTTGTGTATAAGAAATGCTATGTTTTGGTCAACCCAAATTATGAGTTATACACGAAAATTTAACAGATTGTCAATAATAGGTAGCTTTATTGTTATTAAAGGATAAAGAATTAGAGAAATTACAAAGAGGGACAGACATCTAACCTATGTTTGGGGGAATGACTCAAAATTGGTTAATACAATTAAATGCATAAAACCAGAAAAATCCTAGTTAACATATATAGATCACCAAGATTTTGCAAATAAAC